ATTGACTTTTCAATTAATTTCATTTCGAGTACTCATTATACTAAAGTCGATTGTCAGGAAAGAAGGGTAGATTTTTACTGGTGAATCACTTTTTAATTTTCATAGTAGTGTCTAGTTGTTATGCTGAAGTCAATCAACTTTTGGAGTGGATTTATGCTTCTTTGTGGGTTATTCTACTTTACAAGCTAAACGATCAATCAGAAGTGGTTGTAAGGGGTATCTAACAACAATGATTGATACTAGAACTGTAGAGTTGGCATTAAAAAACATTTTTATTGTAAAAGACCTTATAAATGTCTTTCTTAATGATTTTTTCGGGTTGCCTCTTGATTGAGAAATAGACTTTTCTATTGATTTGGTTCGAGTACTGGTCCTATTTCCAAGAGTCCTTATAGAATGGCTCCTGTAAAGTTAAAAGAATTAAAAGAACAATTACAAGAGCTTTTTAATAATGGTTTCATTAGACCTAGTGTATCTCCGTGGAGAGCCTAATGTTATTTGTAAAAAAAAAATATGATAGTATGATGTTGTGTATTGATTATCACGAGTTAAACATGGTGACCGTGAAAAATCAGTATCATTTTCCCCATATTATGACCTATTTGATTGATTAAATGGTGCTCTAGTATTCTTTAAAATAGATCTTCGATCTATGTATGATCAATTAAAGGTCAAAACTAAAAATGTGCCTAGACATTTCTAATGGTATGTGTGGCATTTCATTTGGTTGACTAATTTAGGAGAATTGAATGTTAGAAGTTTCTGATTTTTGAGTTTTGACAATTATAAACACCCAATTTTGGATTGTCGAAACTCCCTATTCTAGTAGCTAATTTAGTCAAATTTTAGATGCTTTTGATAGTACAAAATGTGATCATTCTAGTGGTATAATTGGTTTGTTCAGATGATCTATAGGCTAAGAGAATCAATACCCCAAAATAGGCTTCATGAATATGGAATTCAAAAAAAATCTAGGTTGTTTTGATAGTACAAGAACTACTTGATGTCTCTTCAGTTTTTATGTTTTTAAAAGTCAATCTTAAATCATTTCATATTAAGTATGCTATGAATGCTATTTTATACCTTATTTTGTTAAATTAGGTTAAACATGAAAGTATATATCTTTGTCTAAGTTATGGAAATTATCTTGGAAAATAATTATGCTTATCTCTATATAATGATTTTATCATGTAATTTAGTTTTGCAAGAACTATATATATATATATATATATATATGTCTTTGATTTTGAAAGCCTTGTTGGAGTTATGAAAATGAAATTATTGTTCATGTTGGGTAATCAAAGATTTTTTGTTTTAAATTGTTTCCTGATACTATGTTTTGACCCTGCTAATGGGGGATAAATGTTGGTCATATCGATATATATTCTATGATTAAAAATCAGTTTTGAATTGTACCATTGATTGAAAATAGTAAATTTTTGTTCATTGTACCATTGATGATATACTTATGTATTATTGCACTAAAAGGTTACTATAATTTTTATTCTGACCCATTTCACTAATGGGTTAATTATAATTGTTTAGTGCAACCACCCGATTATTTCTGATATACTGCTATCCCATTGCACTAAAGGGTTAATCATGATTGTGGTTCTCATTTTGACCTATGCTGTCAAGGTTAAAGGTGGCCATAGCTTATGAAGAGAGATAGATTTATAAAACTAAAATTTGTAATATTTGTTGAGTTTTATTATTCTGGCATATGATTTTGGAACAAGCTATTTTGTAAATGCATTATTAGTCAAAAATTTGAAATTGATCTTTAATTCTTTTGTTTTGGCCTGAATGTTTTAACCATGGTTAACATAGTTAAGCAGATATCTATTGCTTATTGAGTGATTGTACTCATTCTTTTTTTTTTAATGTTTTATAGGTTTTTTTTTATCATGAATGTAGGAATCTTAAGGAGTGATGTTTTGAAATTTTAGTGGCCATTTGAAGACTTTTAGAATTGTCTTAGACATTTAGACATTCAAATTTTTATAAATTAACTATTTATGACTTTAAATGAATATTTCAGGTTTCATGACTTTTTAAGCATTTCATCTTTGTGTTAATAGATATTAAAAACTATGAACTTTTGTTTTTAGACAATCTTGTCTCATTTAGATTTTTTTATATGTCTTAGTATGAATCTTGCCTTAAGTGATGAAGTGCTTCATGTGTGTTATGTGATTGTAATATGCATTTCAGGTTTCATGAATTTTAAGTATTTCATCTTTGTGTTAATAGTTATTAAAAACTATGAACTTTTGTTTTAGACAATCTTGTCTCATTTATATTTTTTTTATATGTCTTAGTATGAATCTTGCCTTAGGTGACGAAATGCTTCAAGTGTGTTATGTGATTGTAATATGCCTTTAAAGTTAAAGGCGAAGTTGTAAAAAAACAACTGTAAGGCTTGTGTTGTTAAATAGAACTAAGTCTTGGGCTGTTGAGAAATAGCATAAGAATAAAATTAATGTAATTGAGATGAAGAAGCTTAGATGGATGTGTGATAAGATTAGAAGAGATAAAATAAATAATAAAGAGATTCAAGGAAAATTAGGGTAGTTCGAAATCAGGAAAAAATGAGAAAAAGTCATTTAAGATGGTTTGAACATGTAAAATATAGGTCTATCGTGCACCAATTAGGATTTGTGCACCAGTTAAAAGAAATGAGCTTTTAGATTTATTAGAGATAAAAAATCTAGAAGTTAGACCACGAAAAATCTGGATACAATTAATAAGAAATGATATAAGATTTAATGAAATAAATGAAAATGTTATTTTTGATAAAAATAAGTGACGTAAGAAAATTAAAAACTATGAGCTAACATGATTTCTTTTTTGTCGTTTCATACAGTTGATCTCAGAGTTATGGGATATAAGACTTAATTTGTTGTTGTTGGTGTCGATAGGATATAAGATTTTAGTTTGTTGTTATTGCAGTATGAATATTTCCTTGTATATCTATTTGTAAGATCATATCTTGCAAGTGTCCAACATTTGTTATCTTTGGTTTAGGGCATGACCCATACCTAACTTGCAAAATATTAATAATTTTGACTCAAAAGTTTCATGATTTTATCACTTAAAATCATCTCATAAATATAGATTTAGATCTCTACATATATCATAACATATCCTTATAATCTCTCAATGTAGGATTGGGGTATCACAAAAACAATACACCAGAACTCATTCTTTTTTGTTTTGAGTGGATTCTAATATAATTAATTCCTAACTCTTGTCATGTGAGCAAATCTTGGTAGCTTTTATGATTGAAATTGGCATATGTATAGACAACAAAGACTTTCTATAACCTAGCTGCTAGTTAAATGTGTAAACTTTTGGTAAAACAGTGTCTTATGAGTTTATTCATCCATATGTTTACAATTCAGCTCCAAAGATGCTATTAATAATGAACAGTTCTCGGAGAATCGGGATGATGAAGCAAGTGGCTCCGAGGAAGAGATATACGATTCTAACGGTAAGTGATTTTTTAATAAATATCAGCATTCATTCGGGGGTTCAGGTTTCCTTCTGCAAAGGGACAAAGAAACAGAAGGCAATACAAAACTTTTTGATTACCTTACTCGTTTAATCTCTTAAATTTCCAGATGGATTTGAGGTTACGAAGAGCATATCCAGATTCAAATTTTCAAAAAAAAAAAAAAAAAAGGGATAAATGAGAAGATTGAGTTCCTGCAGCGTGCAGAAGAGAACTTTTATGTTAACAAAGCTCCTGATAAACAGTTTTGATCCGCGTGCATTATGTCCATTCGTATGAACAATCAATATGGTTTTGGTTAGAAACTTAACTGCACCTTCGTTGAGCATGCATGAATCTATATATATTCATTGACTTCAATTGAGGCCATGTCCTTGCAAATCAAAATTTGAGACTGAATTACATAATTTGATTCTTAAAGATGTTTGATTTTTTTTGTGCCTGGTAGGTTTTGAAATTAACTAACTTGGAATTCCTTTTCCCTCAACGTCTTCACTCTGAACAAGCCAATAAACCTGTCAAAAATGCCATATCTGGAACACTGAGAGAATCAAGCCAACCAAGATTATTAGATGCCTTGAAGCATACTCATCATCAGCTTGGTGATTTAAAGTATGCAAGGATTTAAATTGCGGTTGTAACATTTTTTTTCATATTATATTCATCAAGATTGCAGAAGATCATAAACGTAAAAAATTAAATAACAGTTGTAACAATAGTCAAATTATGATTTTTCTGTTTGCATATTTTATTATAAAATTAATAATTATAATTATACAAATTTTTATTTATAAATTTAAAATAGTATATGATATTTTAATTCATTTTTTTATATAATTAAATAGATTATTCACATTTTTGTAAAAAAAAGAAAAAACCTCTATATAGTTAAATGTGCATATTTAAAAATTATTCATTAACATATGAATGAATTGATATAGTTATAAATATTATAAGTATTATGATGATAAATTTTATTTGTTAGTTAAAAAAAATTCAACTAGCAACCTAATTATAATTAAACACAGACAAAAAACAACATATTAATAACTTCAAAATATTAATCATTGACATTAATTACTTTCTAAATAATAATACATAAAAAAAAACTCACACACACCTCTCATTCCCTCTCAAATTTTCATCAAAAGATTTTAATTTATAAAACATTCTCAACCTTTTTCAAACAACCATTCACTTTCCCTCTCAATTTTTTATCTAAAAATAAATAAATAATAATATTTAACTTCAAAGCATACATGACATAATCACTTTACCAATCCACCCACCCATCCACCAATCGTGTGGCCTTTCTCTTGTTTTTCATCTCTGCTCTACTCTTCCAAACCTCTGTTCTTTTTCCTTCCCCATCCCACAACAGACCGCCTCTCTTCATCTCTCTGCTCATGGCTCAACTCTCAAGAATTTGTTAATTCTCCAATCTCATCTCATCTCTATCATGACCAGGGAGAAGAGAAACCCTAGTGCATCACGACACCAAGCTAAAACTCAAATTTTGAAGAAAAAATGGGTAATGCTTATGCCAATACTTGTTACTTACTTCGTATTAAAGTTCAAAACTTTGATTAATTCATTCTTTGGCTTGATTGAGGCTTTAATTTGTTGAATTGGTTTAGACATAAGATTCTCGGTTCTGGAATTTGGAAAGGTTATATTGCATGATATAATGCTTTCTTTCTTTCCTTTTTTTTTTTTTTGTAAAAACGGAAACAATAGGGAGCAATAGCGACTATAACGTTCTGCTCAACCCGTTATTTCCCGCAATTACGTTATTTTGTGGATGCAACAGACCCCTGAGTATGTGAATGAAATTCACATCCCATTTACAGTGGATATCAGTGTCATGAAGAGCGGAAACCGCAAAATAGCGACCATTACGCCGCATAGCAGTCGCTATTTAAATCCCCAGAAGTATGTGTTACGTTTTCACTTAAATCTGAGATTTTCCTTAAAAGGGTCTAAAACACAATGTAGCAAATAATACTAGTTGAGATTCTCTTAGAATCGCCACTTCTTCTTTAGAAGGAAATCAACATGGGAAATGCTGATAAGTCTCGTACTTGAATTCTCCTTTGCAGGGTTGATTTTGAAGCATCATCCACTTTCCTTGAAAACGAGAGTTTTAAGAAAAACGGGAAGAGTGGGAAATCATTTTATTATTTACAAGTGGCAAGCACTGTGAGGTGGCTATCAACAACAAGCTCTGCTGAGATAACAAATCGAATTAGAATCATTACCACTTCCCCTTCCGAGAACATTACATGAAAGGAAGAAGCTCCTCTACCAGGTTCAACCGTGTTTCATCAGAGAGAAGAAGAAATTATTGATGAAGAACATCGTGGCAACATTGAGTCAGAAACTTCAATAAGCGCTTTGCCTCAGCAAAGTGCTTCCCCAGGCGCTAAGCTGCCCCCAATTACTTCTTTCTCACAGTTTGTCAATAGCAGTGAGTCGAAAGAGACTCAACCAAATGCATCCGAGGAACATTCACACAAAAAACTTGAGGAAAATATGAAGAAGAGAATGAGGTTGCAGTTGGTTGAGCGACCAAGAACGTGTGTTACTTTGATTTCATTTTGTTCACTGTGGATACTATTGCAAGCCCCACATTGCCAATGCTTCTTGCATGGAGGGCAGCGTAAAAGGTTTCAAGCCCACAGGCTATGGTGATCATGTTGTTTAAGAATTATGATTGTTGGTGGCACATCTGCTCACCTGCTTCTGCTTAAGGTTAATTTCGATGAAGTTAGTGCAAAGGTACGGAGGAAACTAGGCCGTATGCCTTCCACAACATACCGGATGTGGACCCTAAAACCAAAAAAAGAGCTGGACCCGACTGCAGACATAAGAACTTGAAAAGAACATAGGAAGCTTCCCTTCCACTTCCTTGTATACTCATTAATCTGCTGTTTCTTTCAGTTAGGTTGGTTAGAATTAAAAAGAATTAAATTCATCCAGTCATAGGGATTTGAAAAATTCACTCCATAGATTTCGTCCCCTAACCATTTTCATTTTCTCCTCTTTGCATTGTTCACAGAAGAAAACCACAAAAATTAGAACATTTTCATCAGAGTTTCTACTCAATTTAACATTGTTGAATGGATAAAAATGCATGTGAAATTAAAATTGGGAGATTATATTGTTAACTAAAATACAATCATTGAAGGAAAACCCACAATCTCTCCAATTTTTTTCTTCTCTTTAGCACTAAAACAGCTGCTTATAGGTTTAATACCACAAATTTTTTCACAAATATTCACAAATCTCAACGCTAAGATCAATCCGAAAACAAAGAAGAAAAAGAATTAACAGTAGTAGTATCTAATATATCTATGAGATGCACCTCATGGAGTAGATGGAGACAGAAGGAGAATCAAGGGCAGGTGCACCGTAGACCCTTGGGTGATCACTCTCCAAACCATAGTCCATCATCGGACGGTACTCCAAATCTTCATCATGATCATATACAAAATCAGGAATCTCAATCTCGTTCCTTCTCACGTGCTCCCATAGATAATCCACCCTGTTCACATATCTCAATTTCCCGTACAACCTACCACACACAGGCTCACGTTAGCAGCCCAAACGCTAAACAGACATACGTAGAAATCAATATAACTGTTTGGTTTTGTTTTGTTTTACCCTCCGCTGAAGACAAGGCGTCCAAAGGTAGCCAGAAAGAGCCGAGCCTGGAGGCCAGGGTGCATAAAGTAAACGGCTTGGAGATTATCCTTGACGTTGATTGGGATCGCCTCGTAGATTGATCGTAGGGCTGAGATACCTGGAAAGTTCTCGCTCCTTTGAACCCCGGTGTGCACGTACAACACCGAAAACGGCTTCTTTCCTAGCCTTGGAAATATGTACTCGTCCAAATACTTGTTCAAAACGTCGACGCTCAAAAACCGAGCTGATCAAAGTCGAAAACATCAGAAACCCAAATCTTTAAACAGCAAAAAGATCAAGAAAAAAAAAAAAAAAGGCGGTTGGGTGGGATTAATCAATTACCAGGGAAGAATTTTCCGATGATGCGAAGAATCTTGTGGCCGCGTTTATCTTTTCCGTGGATCTTGAAAATGTTGAGTTTGTGTAGGAGTTGTTCTGGATCAGACTCGGAAATCTGTGATGACATTATCACTTGTTCTTTTTGTAAAATCTTCGAAGAAACGTAAAAAAATAAAAATGCGAGGAAAACGAAATTCGGATGGAAGGAGTTTTGGTATAGGATGAGAAGAAAAGAGTGGAGCTACATAAAGGGCAGGAATTAATACACGCCAAGACAAAATGTATCTACTTGGATGGGATTGAGTTTTGAGGAACCTCAAAGGAGATAAAATAGAAAAAGTCATTGCATTATGTGGAAAACGGGGGGAAAAATAAAGGATATTCCAAAGCATCTTCCATGGTAGAGGGCAGGAGAATTGAAGTGACTCCTCAACCCCTGATTTTCTCATCATGCCTGCTGGGTCCCTCTTTGATGTTTGTTGCCATTTTTGTTTTATGATGGATGATCAACCGTTCACTTGTTTCTTTTCAGAAGGCAAGAAGATCTAGACCGTTCATTTTAAACCATTCTTCTCATGCTGAGTTGGATGAGTTGTTTTTCTTTTTTGGGGGAAGTTCATTTTTGCGTTTCTATTTTTGGTTAAAAAACGAAGATTAGATTCGTAAAAACGGTCTAAACTAAAGCTTTAACGTTCGAGGAAAAAGAGAGAAAGAGATTCTACTCTTACTCTTACACAGTTACAAAAGATTTAGATTTGTATTGTTAGTTTATTTAATCACGATTAAAATATTAAAATTATTATATAATAATTCGTATTTATATATTAAATAAAATATAAAATATTTTTATTTTTATTAAAATTATATATTATTTTTTTTGAAAAATTTATTAAAACTTTAAATTATATTTTTTATTTTTAATATTATATTACTCGTATTTAAAGATATAATAACTAATTAGATTGAACCAAAGTCTATGGCGAATCTATGAAACAAGGCGACAAATTTTTGCAGCGGAGCTTGCAAGAAAAATTCCAGATATATTTAAAATATAAATAAAAAATAATCGATTATTGTTTTATTTCTTTTCTTTTTTTTTGGTAAAAGAAATTCTTTAAAAAATGTATATGAGTGTCTTTTCGAATATGGATTTAGCGTTAAGACGGTGAGTTTTTTCTCATACCGAGGCTCTTATAAATCTTTATTCCCAATATATCCCGAAACAAAATATTTTTACTAAAAATTGTCATTGCATCAGTATTCAATCATCTCGTTCTTCCATCTTCCTCTTTTATTTCTTTTTTCTCATATGAAATTTCAACAAAATCTCATTCATAAATCATTTCAAAAAAATTGAAATTAAAAAAAAAAATCATTAATTGGTAAATCATTTCAAAAAACATTGAAGACTACAATCAAAAAACAAATCAACCTTGAGAAAAAATAATCCAAAAATAAATCAATCCTAAGAAAAAAGAACTTGAGCAACATTTTTCAAAAAAAAAATAAATGAAAGAAAAATAAATATTTTTTATAAAACCCTCATTGAAATTCAAAAGAGTTACAATTTACCGAGTTTTTTAAAGGGAGTACAATCCATTTCCAAGATTTGAATAAAACTAAAAGGAGGATAACAAAATTTGTTAAAAATTAAAGAATTTATTTTTGCACACTTTGCAATGAGGGTAAACCTTTTGAGAGCTATTTGTTGAAGATATGAAATAAAATGTGAAAAAAGAATTTGAAGAAAGCTGAGTTGAGTGGCTAACTTTACTGATTGAATTGTTTGTGGCTTGTTTGCTTTCCTCTTTCATGGACATTGGTGGAAGACGAGCAGAAGATTTGTTTGCCAGCTATGAGTTATTACTTGTGATCCATCTTCGAGATTACGGAGAAAAAGGCTCACTTCCTCCATGAATCTCACCAAAAGTAAACCTAAATTGTAGATGGATGATGGATCAAATGTTATCGGGAAAAAGAGAAAGCATAAAATAAAATGAAATGAAATGTAGATGCAAATCTGACGAGTTTTGTCCATCTAGATGATGACATGGCTTTAAAATACTCTTGTTTGAGAATAAAAATTTTAATTTACCGTATCTTACGAAAAAAAAAAAAATCCAAAAGACGATTTCATTGATTTTTTAATATTAAAATATAAATTTTAAGATATTTTAAGGAGAATTTTATGGATTCTTATCTCATATTAGTAGTATTTTTACTATGTGGGATAAGATATTTTTGTTTAATTCATTTCAGTCCTGATTTTAATAATCCTTGGTTTGGCATTTTGATATTTTTGTTTAAGCGCTTCCAAGCTAGGCGGGATTTTCCTTATTAACGTGGATGTATGCGGCACCCCGATAAGATTTTTTAAACCTAATAATTTGTGCATTGTGTTTATTTTATAAAAATTTATTTAATACACTATTAAAAGAGATTCAGTGTATGTTACCAGTTTTTTTTTTAATTATTTTTTAATTTTTTTAATATACCCTAAAAAAATATGTTACCATATTAATCTAGGAATTAAAAAACTACATTAATAATATATTTGATAATTTTTTATTTTATTATATAAAATACAAATTATTGTATTACAGTTTATATTAACATACAAAATATAAATATATGTTTTTTTTATTTTTAACAAACCCATATAAAATTTTTATCAATGTTAAATTATATCACTTTTACATATTTTTATTATATCCACAATTACCATGGCTAAAATTTTCCTCCTTCCTGCTACGAGTCCGCGTACACTCGAGATATCTTAAATTGGCGAACCCATATTGACGAAAAATGCATTAAATAAAAGGCCCACATCCATATCTGCCACCTTAGTAAATGCCTGGTGGTTTACATGTCCCATAATAAATAAATAAATAAATAAAAGATATCCCAGCCACTATAATACCAAGACCCAAGTTGGTTTAATTTAAACATTAATGCTATGTGTGAGAAAAACGGCTTATGGTAACTCCCGATCACATTCTAGCAGTTATCCTTGAGCTTGAGCCTTGGTTTTCCGCCCAGGCCACAAAGAATTTCGTGGGGAGCTCCTTTCATAGTTCAAAGTTTTTCGTACATGATTTTTAAGGAGGGGCAAACACCTACTATCATATTTTTTGTGCCTCCAAAATTTGTCATAAAGTTGTACAGATATATTAGCGTCTAATAGAATGAATTTAAAGTTCTTAGTCTCACATAGAACCTCTCATTCGTTCTGTGAGAAACAAACTTCAAAATCTTAGCCAGGGCAAATCTTCTGTAAGCTGTACAAGTGCCAGTTTCACCCCAATATATAGTCCACCTATTCATTGAAATTGAACCCCGATAACTTTGCAAGTTCTTTCAATTCTACCTCTCCACTCAAAACCTGGGAAAAGGTACACCTTAGGTGCTTATATAAGAACAAAGACAATCTATGAAAGATGAGATATTATGGTACTTGCACAAAAGATTACGGTCCACTACATGATAGGCGCACCGGTTAAGTCTTATGACGGATTAGATATAATAGAGATAAGGAAACCACTTAAATTTTTTTGGAATGAAAATATACCCATATTTAGAAAATATAAGGTCTAAAGAGGAGTAGATTTACAAAAGGGAAAGGTGTCCTCACCTCACCATTAATAACCCAGGTTGGGAATCCTTCTAATTTTGCGTCTGCACATGCCTTGAACATTTTAGTTCCTGTCTTAAATCCATCAGGAAAGCATTCCACATAGTCCAACAACTTTGATGCCTCACGCCCAAACATCTGCATCAAATAAGGATCAAAGCTGATGAAGCTCATACTTACAACGGATTCAAGGCACAAGTGTTTAATTAAAATAAGTAAAAGGAAAAGATGATCAGTTCAAAAATCAGGTGATTATATATCTAACACTCCTGTTCTTCAAGAAAAGAAGCATTAGATTTGCCTTTCTAATAAATTCTAATATGAGAAGCCAAGTATTGCAGAAAGACCAATATTAGGCTGCAGCCAGCTAAGCATACTAATTCTAGATGCTGAAAAAGAGTAACTTTATTCCAGGGGGGTTGACGAAGCCAGGTGAACTGGTTATACATAAATCAGATCTAAATACACCATAATTGTTCAGCTATTGACTGAAAAAAAAATTGTATTAAAAAACAAACATTATGGAATTGGACAAGGATTTCAAAGATACTCAATGACATCACATTGCTTAATACATTTAAGGAGAAACCACTTTCTATTTTTGAAGTCACAACACAAACACTATATATTACTCAAACCCGGGATTATCACACAAGCAAATCCAATGGTCCTTTTCTTTTGGGTCAAATCCTGATTAACTCTAGAAATAACAATAATAATCAGTGAATGTATCTTGAAAAGTGCATTATTTCTTCACTATTCATTGTGAGAATCAACTCAAGGCTCAACAAACAACAATCACTTGCATGAAAACTTTATTAAGTACATCCTATTTTCATTGGCAAATTTGAAAGCAGCACCTTACAGTTACAATACAACTGCTAAGAGAGAATTAAATGCAAGAAGCACCTGTTTTTGTTCTAAACAGTGAGAACACCAAAAAGCCCCATACATCTTAGCTCCTATTGAGTGTAGATGCCTTGCAAGTGAAAGAGCAAAGGGACTTGATTTTGTTGTTATCTCAGTTGTAAAATATGGAAGATCAACATTAGCCAGGCTGTCAAGCGAAAATAAAATGGAGATATAAGTATAGTGACGATATCTACAGAGAGACGATATATAGAAGGCAGCTAAAAATAGATATCTATCCAAATCATAAAAGAGATGCCTTGAGCCAAGCACATAATCACCTTGAAGGAACAGATGATGAGGTGCTATATGAGGCACTTAGTGTGGCAATCACCAAGCTTGCTATGCAAACCTGTAGACCCACCACTTTCTGTATCTCCTGCAACCCAACATCCTACAATGGAAACGCAGAAGACACCTAGTTATTATCATAAATCCAGCAAAAGCGATATCATGTAACCAATAAATACTGGCAACTCAAAAAGGAATATATAAAGCAGACCTTTATGCTGATGAAAAATAAACTAAATGATAACAGAGCTGACATCAGACAGTACGAGCAAGATGTTCCTGCAAATTTTGTGCTCAGTATGTACAAAAAATATGCACTAGCAGCAGCCATGGAGGTGGTGCTCCCAAGCAATAGCAAACGGCCATTTGTTTCACTGATCCCGAAAGGTAAGCTCTTTGCACTCAACTGCAAGCTGAGCGTCGTAACAATACCATAAGCAACCAATCCAACTAAAGGAAGAGGAACACCTGAAAAATGCAAAAGCACTATCATTTCTAAAGCCATATATGTGGTTTTCCCAGTCAAATTGAAATTTTATTTGTAGGATAATATTATGACATTAGCACGAACAAAAAATGGCAAAGCATGTAATACCACAAATGAAATTTTAGGTACCCCATTGAATGTTTCTTTTGAATTTGATCAAACTATGAATAAACCACTAAAGATATATAATTTTCCACATTCTTTAACCTAAAAAAAAAGCATGAAGTCAACAAATTTACATATAGATAAATGACAAATCTTGAAAAAACAATGAAATACCAAAAACTACGGCGTAATCACTGTTGAGAACATCTCCGCAACCGCCACCACCAAGAGGGCAAAAGGCATCGGAATCGGATAGCTTGAGGTAAGTCAAGTAGGCAGTTTCAACAAGCCCAATGGCACTAAGACCCGCACGCCAATTATTCGAGGAATTGCTCGAAGCCAATGAAATAGAAGAAGAAGAAGAAGAAGGGGACGATGGCGTTTCAGCTTCTGACTCGTTGTCTGGACTCGGCCCAGAAGATAAACACTTAAGAGGAAGCACAAGCAGTCTCCGAACCGGCGCTTGCCCCTTCAATAAAGAAAAACCAAATAAGCGATGATAGAGTGAAGGAGATAGAAAGAGAGAGATAGGGGAAGTAGCAGTGTACCCGGAAATGAGCTGAAGACGAAATGAAGGCTGGAGGAGAGCAGCGATACAAGATTTGACTTTGAGAAGCTGATAAACCAAGGAAACTGGCCATTTCTTTTCCACAACAGAAACAAAAGGGTCAAGGGTTCATCCGTTATAAGAACTGAAAAGCCTTCTGAGTCGGGGTGCTAATTGCTTGAACCTCAAATGTTGACGACCCAGACCCAGAAGAGAAAAGGGGAGAGAACCTTGAATTAAAAAAAGATATCAAAGCCCACCCCCAATCACTGTATTGATGGATTGGGTAATTGGGCTTTTTGAGATTAGAGAATGGATTTTCCCAATCAACCCTCACTGACATCTGTTTTTCTTCCACCTAGGAGTCCCAATTCCTGTTTGGGCCAACCCTATTGTAACTTATATGAAAATTGTATTAGGAATTTTTAGCTTACAAGGGAAAAGAAAAAAATAAACTAATGAGTTCTTTTTAGGGAAAGTTTGGGAAAGTGACGAGAGGGAGGTTCGGATTAGAATTGGGAATGGATTCTGATAGGGCCCCTGTCCCTGGGGTCTGACCCGTTCACTCTGTCCACCATTTGTGTGAGCCTAAGAGATTGAAAATCGCTTATGGAATTTGGGTTCGTTTCCCACGTGTACAAGGGAGTTGCCAGACATTAAGAAGTGTGCAGATATGATAAGAAAACCACCTCTGCCAGTTTCAAAGGTTCAAACTTATCCATGCAAATGTCAGTGAGCCAGTGCCAACATGTCAACCTCTTCTGATTCCTTTGTGTTTATCTAAACCTTTCAACTGATCACTCAACCTGTTCAGCTTGCGTGGCGTTGATGCTCCTCTTCTACGACAATTTTCATTACATAATCACCTTTAACAACTCATAACCATCATCACTATACAAAGCAAATACCTCTTCTACAGACTGGAACATCTTCGTTCTTGAAAATTAATCTTTCAAAAAGTTTTAACTACACCAAAAAATATGGAAGCAGCATCGCTTCTTTCTTCTTCTTGCTTCACTGCCTCTTCCCTTCCTTCATCTCTTTGTCCTCAAAATCTCCACCACAGGTCAGCTGATACTGATCACTTCCCAATTCTGTTCTTTCTCTGTTTTCGTTCTTTTTTCCTTCTAAACTTCTTATAGAGTCCAAATTCAACAGTGCTTTCTTTTTCTTTTCTCAGGGACCTGTTTCCATTAACTGTAAATCCTCAGAGATGTCGAATAGCTGTTGTCTGTAAAAAGTTGAGCTTCTGGTACGGACGCTCAAAGAAACTAGTATATGTTTGTTCTTTCCTTACTTTTTTGGCAACTAATTGAATATTTTGGTTATATATCTGAAGCACAAAGGCAGCAGTTAGAGGAAATGTGCAGTCAACAGGAGTTCCAACTTCTGTTCCAGTAAGAGTAGCACATGAGCTTCATCAAGCTGGGCATCGATATTTGGATGTTAGGTATTCTTTCTGTTTTGCTTGAATGTTAAAAACTCCAATTATTAGAAAGCAAGGGCTTCAAGGAGCAACATTTGAATGTTTGTAAGAAGTTGTGTTCTTTTCTTTCTTTCTTCGTGATTGTTTCGCTTCTGTGCAAATTTGTGTAGGACTCCTGAAGAGTTCAATGCAGGGCATGCCCCTGGGGCTATTAACATCCCTTACATGTACAAAGTTGGATCAGGTTACTACCTTCTTTTCTTTTTCAGCTGATTTATCTCTCAAGTTTAGACTCGGCTATTCTTATATCCTCTATTTCCTGTGTAACACCAATAAAACAGGATTGTGAAAATTGCTATGTCACACTAAATAAAAAAATTTTTTTTTTTCAAAACTCATGTACTGTTTTTGTTAAAAATTTGAATCAAGTTATTTTGATGTCTTTCTTTTATATTATTTTCGTATGATATTATAGTATTATGTTTAAAATAAATTACGAGATCTACTCAAGTTACTTTCTTTCTAGCAAATGAGGACATCGACCGATGTCTGGGGTCTCAAATAGTGGCTTTACTTATAGTCTAAGGTTGGTTGCTGTTCGGTAGGCACTTGCTTATTGCGGTGGCAAGCATGATTGGATGAATTGTCTTTTCCTGCAACTGAATTAGCAATTTTCAAGTTGCTCTCTCGCCATGTTTTTTATTTTAAAATTTTGTTTCTGCTTGCAGGAATGATAAAGAACCCCAATTTTCTGACGGAAGTATCATCACATTTTGGAAAATATGATGAAATTATTGTTGTAGGTTCCTGTTCCTAGTATCCGATTTCCAATTGAACTTGAACCTTTTCTTTTAGAACACCCCACTACCTTCCCCTCCCTCTTTTTCTATGCTCCATTTTAATGTTAGTTAAAATTGCCTGGTTATGCAGGGGTGTCAGCTTGGGAAAAGGTCTCTAATGGCAGCCAGCGATCTTTTAGCTGATGTAAGCACATCAATTTATCATCCTTCAATCTTTCTGACTGAGTTTTAAATCAACCATCATTTCTATATATTGAAGTAGAAAACAAGAATGTTGGTTTGGTCGGGCATCACATTTTAGGAACTAAATTTTGAATCTTTGCACATATAGGCTAATATTTGAGTTACAAAAGTAATGGTTCATATTTAATTTCTCTAGAGTTAAAACTAGTTGGAGATTTTCCTTTTCCGGGCCTTTAACCTTTATAATAACGAACTTGGTTTCAAACTTATTCACTCTTCTCCGGTGAAAAGATTTAGATGAAGTTTTTTTTATGTGAAGTTCATGAAATTTTTTATTAAAAATGATTAAACAAAAATTAAAATTAAAAATTAAAATTTATAAATTAAAATATCTCGTACATAAATCATGTATAAAATTTAAAAATTTTAAAAAATTATTTGATACAATTATTTTTAATAAAAGTATTAATAAAATTTTACCGTTAAATAAATATCGATCAAATTAAATTAAAAATAATATTTTTAATAATTTTTTAACATATTATTGATTTTTATATTAAATTTTGTCAATTTATTGGTTTGAATTTTTTATTAAATCATTTTCGATAAAAAAAATTTACAAACTTCACTTAATAAACTTTATGTAAGTTTTGTCCCATCTCCGGGACCCTCAACAAATTAATTTTGCTACTTATAGCCTTGGTTAATCGACATGTTCAAGACTGATAAAGCTAATTACAACTTCATCATTAATTCTTTCCAGGGCTTTACTGCCGTTACGGACATTGCTGGAGGGTATGCGGCCTGGACTCAGAATGGGCTTCCAACAGAATGATGATGCAGCAGGCTTGCGGAGAATGAGTTGCTGATAGACACAATAAAGTTGGCAGACAAAAACTATATGCCAAGTAAGGAAAAGATCTCACAAAATGTAGCCACTGAATAACCAGAAAGCAGTAAATATTACATTTACCGAATGTATGTGAACGTGAATGTCTGGAGAAAATCGTTCCTGTTGTTCTGTACGGAAAAGGAAACAAACAAATAATAGACGATTGGAACTTGTGGACTTTGTACATGTAAACCTCTACTTTTTCTCTTGATATAAATATCGCTTCTTGCCTACATGAATTGCATAATGATTGCTAAGGCAAGCACGTCCACGTTTAATAGATTGTTTTGAACCTAGGATTAGAGGATTCTTCCTTTCAATGTCACTGTTGGAGTTATTTGCCTCCCTGTCACAGATTCTAGCTCGTTTTATTTAGTTAGGAAAAAATGAGATGTCGTCAATGTCAAATTATCAATATCACTCGTGTTATTGTAACAAAATAAAATGAGCATTCGAAATTTTCATTATAGATGTTCTCATTTATTATAGGTATTAGATCATTTTTTACATTTTTTTATTGAATATTTTTAATAAAAAAATTCACAGTTTGAAAATAAAATAAAAAATTATAAATATTAAAATTTAAATTCGAATTTATTGAACGTTACTTTTATATTAAAAGATGACAGAAAAGCTAAGAGAAACATGCTAACTTTGATTTGAGTAGGCAAAAGCTTGCACTTCAGCATTTAGAAGACAACCATAGCACAGGAACCATTGAAATTAGGTAGCAGCAAGTAAATTAATACTATTAATTAACAAGAAAGACGCGTTTGGAACTCTTAATTGACCATCTGTTAAATATAGCTAAACACAAGAAAAATAAAATAGAATTCGCATTTTGAATTCCTTCTCAACCGGGGAATTGAAACTAAAAGTTGGTTGGGCTATAGACGCGTGGTAGAATAGAATGCTTCAAAGCTACACAGACTGGTGGGCATAGATATTCATCCCACCACGTTCTTATTCTGACAAGCATTATGCAAGAAAAAATTATGGAAAACTATATATACTCTTCTAAAAAAAATTGGTGCGCACAGCACGACTCCTTCCTTTAAAGCGACCTCTTCCTGCAGTGAAGATCAGGACATTAAATCAGATAGGAAACCTAGCTCAAGCAAGAAAGAAAAACGACAGACTTGGAAAGATGGGCACTGCTAGAAACTGGTTCAACACAGTCCGAAAGAAGTTTATCAAGTCATCTCAAAGAGATATCACCATTCTCCACAGCGGAAATCTCAGTGACCACTCAATGATTAGAGAAGCTAGAGACTTCCCCAACATCTCAGTTTCATCAACATCATTTCAAAGAGAACATTTAACCAGAGAAGACCTTGCAGCAATTAAAATCCAATCAATTTTCAGGGGTCATCTCGTAATTACGTCTTAACTGGGTCACATTTCTTTTTCAAAGATTTTTTTCTCAGAGTTGAGTTAAACTACTAATACTTTCGTTTGCTGGTTTTGATAATTGAAAATTATAATGGTAACAATTTTAAACAGGCAAGACGAGCATATGGAGCTTTGAGAAGCCTAGTTAAGCTGCAAGCAGTGGCCCGCGGGGCGTATGTCAGGAAACAAGCACAAATAGCACTGCAGTGCATGCGTGCACTTGTCCGTTTACAGGTCAGGGTTCGAGCCCGGCAACTCGTTGGCATGTATAATGATCACTCGTGATGCAAGGTGCCTAATTCTCACTTTTACAAGCCATCGGGCATTGGCCATCCTTTTTGGTCATAGATTTCAGCTCAAAGTTTCCGATACACAATAAATCTTCTCGTCTCAAAATTTCAAGTAACATGAGAAACATGTCAGAGGAGGGAATGAGATTCTGATGAATTAATTACTCAGATTTTGTTTAATCCTCATCCTTAGTCTGTTATTTATTCATTTTGCTTTGCCTTTCCTGCCTATGATTTCTCTTCTTTGTCGGGGGGCAAAATTCTTTATCTAATTACTAAATGGTTGACCAGACCAAACTGTAGACAATAGGAAAACGTATAGACGAGCAGGTGAGGGTTCTTTTCATCAATCATCCACTTCCTGCTCTTTACATATCAAGCCCATAAGAAGTTCTTACTGCTGTTTTCAGATTACACAAGGTAGATATTGCAAAAAGACAAAAATGAAAAGGCAAGTATTACTGTTTTACGTAACAGCCAAGAGAGGAAAGAAAAATATGAAACAGAGAGCAATTGTAACTTAAACCGCCAAAAACTGAATCGCTGTCATCATGCACACCTCTGTACGGCATAGCTCATCATGCATAATGGTAGACAATGGAAAAAGCAGATGATAAGATACAGAACATGCAGTCAAGTAATACTTTTGGTTTACAGCATCCTCTTTTGTCTTGGGTTAAATGGTGTCCCCTTATCATAGCTGAGAAAAAACCGCCATATGACTTGTTCTTGCGGCGATCTTCCCCTTCATCTGCAACATGTTTCAAAATTACCATGCTTAGAATTGTTTAATAGGACAAAAGGAAAGTTCTATGGATACTCACCTCTTTAGCTATTTGTTGAAGGATATCTATAATTTCAGAGAAGTTAGGTCTTTGAGTTGGGTCCTGCTCAAGCAGTTGTCCTAGTATTGGGTGAGAATGCTTTGGATTGTAAGGCGTGGGCGTAAAGGATCCATACAAACAAAATATCCTCATTAGCACAAAATGAAAAATTCATAGTTTCATATTTATACTAAAAAACAAGTACCTTTTGCACCACACTTACTGCTGCTTGTAATGGAGTTCAGAGAGCATATGGGTGCTGGCATTTTGAATGCAAGAATAAATCAGTCGTAAAGATGTATAATCTCAAACTACCATACTTGTAGATGAAAGAAAGTTTGCCATAGACAAGCATGCAGGATCAAAACCATACTTTGTCCTTTCAAAACAGTGTCTTCTCCTGTCAGTAGCTCCCAGAGAACTATTCCAAAGCTAAAAGCATCTGCCTTGTGTGATCATACGTTTTTTGCTCAACAACCTACATTAATTAAAGATTGGTGAAAGAAATATTAGAGTGTAAGCATTTTCTAGACATGTTTGAAGTGTAAAGCACAAGGTGGATCAAATGACTGGAAATTAGAAATGATTCTTTAGTCTTGATATGGAAGGAAATTAGAGAGACTGAACACCATAATCACATGTTTCGTTGACCATGAAGCAACATGAAAAACAAAAGTATAATGCAAGATTATCTGAGTAGCTAATTACTATCATGTAAAGAATGCAAAAGAGAAAACATACTGTCCAAGAAAAATGAATACCTCAGGAGCCATCCAGCGCTATGTTCCAGTTTCAGCTGTCATTACCCCTGTCACTCTAAAATCTCCAAAATCAGCAACTTTAACAACCTGTCGAGGATGGACCAACAATTTTAGGACAAATATCAGCAATTAATATGTTATAGTATTTACAGCATACTATAATTCGAAAACAACCATACATATCCAATTCCAATGTAAAGTCAAATCTCCATCTACTAACAAAATCATCTTACTTGATTTTCATCCATCAGAAGATTGGCAGTTTTCAGGTTCCTGTGGATGATGTTATTTTGATGCAAATAATTCATTCCCTTGGAAATATCAATGGTTGTTTTGAGTAGAGATGGCAACTTAAAAATGCCCCTTTACTTATGCAGATAGTCATATAAGCTACCTCAGGCCATGAACTCTGATAAAGAACAAATATCACTGTCAAATCTGACTATCTGTAAAAGGAAACAAAATGTGTCTGTTTTTTAATAAAGCCACAGAGTTTATCATCAAAGATTTAAAAGGGATGAAAAAGCATATGCATCCGAAAATTTAAATTTTGGTATACAAATAGGAATTCACAGACTATAAATTCGTAATGGTAGGTTTTCTGTCAATCTCTCAGTTTGGACTCCAAAGCCAGAATTGTTCCCTTCTAGCAACATAATTATAGACTATATCCGGTAAAGATGAAAAACAGCAACTCTTAACAGCACCATTGTTGAAGAAAAGTTTCAAAATTTTATGCATCACAGAAGAAATTATAAAGCATATTAAAGCATAGCTGGAAAATTTCGTTAGATTATACCAGTTACAATGCACAGGTTTGGAGCTCTTGTATATGCACCCATGAATTGAAAAAGATTCTTATGCCGAACTTTCCTGCAAAGAGGAAAAGAAAAAGGTTGATATTCCACTGCATGTGAGTCGGCCTTGAAGATAAGTACCAAGCAGTCTTACCCTCCAGGAACCAACTCTATGATTAGCACATTAATACATTCAATAACTTGGGAAGTTCTTAAATTCAACTATAATTTGTGAGAAACAGTGAGATGTCTGGATGAACCCTGCCACAATTTTCTGGTAATATTCACACCCAACATATATACAGACTGACAAATGGCATCATTTTTAGTTCTATAGAAGGCTATTAGGAAAATGATGGAATTCAGACTTCATTAGAACTGACTAGTAATACAACAAAAAATAGAATAAATGGAAAGTGTTTTTTGAGGGAACCGAAATGGCAACATGCACCGAAAATAGATATCCTGCGACTGCAAGCTAAATATAGCCTATTTAAGAGCTTTGTCCTTCTGAAACATTCCAACCTCCTTTTAGTGCTAACTGTCCAATATTTAAGAATAAAGCAGCAGCAACAGTTATCCCTTTTCGGTTTTTTAGTACCAGACACCCAATTTTTGCCAGCATTTTATTCATTTGAAAATTAACCATATGCTTAGAACTTGAAGCAACTACTATTTCAGACCAACTAGAGAGGGATAGGAAGAGAATGGGTGGAGAATGTGTGTTTTGCGAGGCATGTGAAGAACGGAGGGAAACATTCAAGAAAGCAAAATTGTGCCCAATAAATTGGATGGCCATGGAAATAAACATGACATTTGAATGATCTCATCTTACAAGAGAAACTATGAATGGAAGACTATACCCTCCAGGAAGCCAAACATTGCCTCAACATCCTTGGATATGACAATGGAAGGTGAATAAATTAATATTCTCCCCTTGAAAATGTCAAGAACTCAAAATAAAGCCTCTTGTAAAGAATTTGAATTTGAATAATAGCCCCAATAACTCATAGGAGACTTCAAGATGATGATTTCCTTCTTCCCTAATCATAACTTCAAATCTACTCAGGTGTCTATTATAACACTAAACATCAGTGCCAGCCAGTCAATCAAAATTTGGTCAAGATTGAACTACACATATTTATCCTACAAATTAAAAGATCCCTCAGAAGAAAATTCAAGACATAATCCTGTAAACTTAAACTTAGAGAAAGAATAATCCCTTTTTATTTAATAAGAAACATCTAATTACAGGAAAATTAATAAAATCCAAGAGTGTAGAGAATGCTTATCAGAGATGTGACAGGTTCTCTTCGCAACAATTAACATATACTTGTACTTCAACAAACCTCATATTATAAACTTCTTGAGAAAACTCTCTCAGCATTTCTCCTGTAACCCACTTGAGGACTTTAATAGCCACTTCTTGACTGCAATGGACTTTAATAGCTGCTTCTTGACAACAATATGTGCCTCTGTATCTGAAGATGTTAAATGAGATGATGAGTTAGAACTTGTAATCTCCCAAAACAAAAAGAGAAAGAAGAAGGCTTGTAACTGACGAAACTTACATATCACCATATGACCCAGATGTGATCTTGGTTTCAATTTTGAGCTGCCTGGCATCAATTACACATACATCAGTTCCATCGGTAGGGATTTCAACATAATTGAGTAAGGAAATTACCCCGTCTTTGATATGCTCAGTAATAGCACATATTGAACTCTTTCTAGAATAAGATTGCTCCTGTAGCTAATTATAAACCATCAGAAAAATAGGTTGGCTCTAACAATCCATAAAAAAAATGATTGTTAGTATGATTTTACAAGTCAAGAAGTACAGGAAGTTAGGTTGATCTACTAAAAAGCAGTCGGTATGCATCTGTTTGAAGGACAATTGCTAAAAAGCTAAGAACCTTATAGCTGAAAAGTGAAAATCGAAATTAACCTTTTCACCTTCTGATAAGTTATATTTAGCATTTAACCTTTCGAATTAAAAAGAGGAGTTAAAGCTTCAATTTAATATCCTTGAGCATTAACTTTTTCAACCGCATGGCTCATAAATACAGAAATGATATATAAAAAAAAAAAAATTCAGTTCCAAGATTAATAGCCATATTTGGCTCATATGGCTTGACTCAGCACTAATAGCAAAAGATATATGTGATGCCATTCATGAGCATCAAAAAGAATTAGTGAATTGTGAATAACGTGGCAGAAAAGGTACCTTAAACTTTAAAATTTCCTTCTGCAATGCATTTTTGAGCTCCTTGATTTCCTAAAATATTAATGAGTGAATCATTGCTTTCCAGCCTTAGCATTAGGCATTTCATCCAATTATTAGAATGAAGATATATAGGAGCATACCTCAAAAGGCCAACCATCAACAACAAAAACATCCAAAGAATACCCATCGGCAGTGGAAAAATGAGCTTCTTGAATGTTCAATCCAATCTCTGCAAGTAAAGAAGTCAACTGCAAAAATAATCATCAATATCAATCATTCATTGCAAGAGAAAGTTCATCAAAAACATTCCAGATGGGATCTTCCCGGAACAAGAACATAGTCAACTATAAATACCAAATAAAGTGTTCAAATTCTTTTCTTTTTATATGAAATTCAGCGATTAACATTACCAAGACA